GTTGCGCCCGCACCTAGCTCAGCCAGTCGGGAACCGGTCTGTATGTGGGATCCGAACCCTCGGCGGGAGTGCCTCCGTGCTTCCCAAGTGGCGCACTAGCGCAGTGCGCCACCTGGCCGGCCCGGCACCGTTGAGTTTTGAGAAATATATGACTGTTTTCTGTCACAGGGTTTTGGTAGTGTCATGAAGGGAGAAAATGGATGGATAAGTGAGATGAGGAACAGGAAGAATTCACAAAGCTTTATTATTTGTTTTTTCTCAGCTATTATTGAGCATGAATAATGAGCCAGGTGTTATGGCAGGTGCTGGGAATGTGATATTTAAAAATTTGGCCGGCCCGGTGGCGCACTGCTACAGTGTGCTGCTTGGGAGCACGGCGGCGCTCCCGCCGAGGGTTCGGATCCCACATACAGACCGGCTGCTCACTGGCTGAGCGAGGTGCGGGCGCAACACCGAGGGTTGCGATCCCGTTGGCGGTCCCGGTCCGGTATGGGCGCGACACTGAGGGTTGCGATCCATTGCCAGACACGAAAAAAGACAAAAAGGAAAAAAAATAAAAAATAAAAAAAATAAAAATAAAAATTATCAGACTGATATTACATAGGAATTAGCTAGGAAATCAGTGGTGAGTAATAGAAGAATAGAGGGAGAAAAGGGAAGAATTTTCCACGGTACAGGGCGCACTCTTCATTTATAAACTGAGGATTGGTGATTAATAGCAGGTGTTACCCTGGGGGAAGGAGGAGACTGTGCCATGCATCACTTCAAGGTTTCTCTTCTGTCTCTATGTGAAAAGTAAGTCCATTCGCTGAGGCTCACATTCCTACAGAAGAGCAAAGGTGATGAGTGCTCTGTCTCACCTCATCCAGTCTGTGTAAGAATCTGCATTTGCATTTACATTTACACATTCTATCAAAATTGTTATAATCCTTTGCTCCCCTCAGGCACAGAAGAGTATTTTGTATCCCAGACATCGCACTTCTACCTGAGGGCAGCCCCTCCTCCTTATTCCACTCCACAGACCCAGATATCCCACTTCCCTGCTACCTCCCAACCCTGCTAGAAACCTAGTCAGGAAAATTCCAGGCCTGTACCTCAGTAGCTTGTCATTCCTCCCCTCAATCTCCCCAGGGTTTGGTGGAGATCTGGAACTGACTAAAGGCCAAGCAGTACCCACTCCCCCCACAAGTCTGCCCTAGTATTCTCTGAGGTGAAACACATCTCCTTTCCTCCAGGACACTGGCCACAGAAGCATTTTCTCACTCCTAAATAGTCAAACTGAAGTGGTGGTTTAGAGAGGGCTTCCTACCTATGCCCAATTCTTCCATAAACAGTCTCAGTAAGAGCAGTTTGCCTGCTCTGTACACATTCAAGACAACCCCCCTCCTACACCCTCTTAACCATAAAGCCACAAGTCAGCCCCTTCCCCATTTCTAGCCCCCACCCTTTCATGCTTCAATGATGAGCATCACTTGGGGTGAGACCAGCAAGGGTCAGCGGAGGCCAATTATCCCTTCAGGGGTGGGTCTGAGGCCTAGGCCCTTTCTCTCCTACCTGCTCCCCCGGCCTCTGTTGGGCCTGGAACCCCACGAAAGCTCAGCTCTTTTTGCGGTGACAGGACAGAGTTGCTATTCTCAGAGCACAAATGGGGTGATCGGGGACCATTTTCAGATGCCTTTCCCCTGCCTAGCAGCAGTGTATAAGGGGCCAGGGTCCAACCTCTGCACTTGTAGCCCCATATTCTTCCCAGACCTTGTCTGTATCAAGGGTTGCCTGGGGAGGAGCAGGACCCCCGGACCAGCCTCTCGGCTCTGCTCTCCTTTCCCTTCTATCTGGATCTTCTATCCCGTTGCTGGGCCACAGAGAGAGGTGGAGCCTCAGTGTCTATGAACTGAGGATTGGGAGTAAATGGGGCACAAGGTTCTACTCCAGGAAGAGGAAGTAGCTGGCTGGGAACTCTGCATAATGGTGGGGGGGTGTTATGTAATTTTGGAGACATAAGAGGTTGCTGATTGGTCATTCCCCAAGGCGCTAGAGGTCTTATATTTGCTCTTTACCTCCCCTATATCCTTTTGTAGAATTTGTTTTAAGGTGATTGAAGATTCACATCTTATTATTTTTGATGCTCATTTTCACAGACAAATACAAGGGGATGAAAAGACCTGGAGAATACAGTAGTATTTGCATCACAAAGTCTGTGGAGGAGGACATAGCAAACAAAGGACATCAACAGTGCTCAACAATGTGGCAAGAACAGTGCTGGCGCAGATGCAGGGAACATGCAGGAAGATACAGAGATAATGGGGAGTGCTGGGACGTCAGAGTATCAGGGCAGAACAGAGAGCCACGTCAGGCAAGAGGGCAGGGAAGCTCTACCAGAAACGTTAGCAGTTGAGACTTGGAAACAAAAACATGGCACAGGAGAAGGGAGAAGAATGGCTAATGCAGAATTAAGAGAGTGTTTCTATTTATTTAAGTTACCAGGTGCTGTATTAACCATGTAATTCCCCACTACAACCCTCCCAAGGAGGTATTAATATTTCCCTGTCCTGCAGATGTGACCAGAGAGGCACAAAAATAAAAAAAGGCCAAGTAAACTGTGCCCAGCTATCACATGTAGGCAGAGAGCTCCAGGGTGTGGAGCCAGGATCTGACTCCAGGGTCTGAGTTCTTATCACTACTACACAGTGCTGCTGCTCCTGGCAAGTGCTCTAACAAGGTGCCAGAAAATGGAGACACCAGCAGTTCCTGACTTAGAGGGTGTTGTGAAGACGAACTGAATTAATGTAGAATATGCCTAGGTGTCACGTGGCAGATGGCAGTGCTCAAACAATGCAGTAGTTCTTAATATTGCCATAACCTTCTTCAGTGTCACAGCCTGCATTACCACCATTGCTATCATCATCATCATCACGTAGTATGTATGCCCCCAAGGCCAGCAGGATACTGAAACAGCTCAAGGGACTGGATACCTCAAGGGTCAAGGGCCCAGGCTCTGGGCTCTGCCTGCCTGGGCTCCAGCCAGGCTCCCGCACATGCTGGGTCACACACAAATGAAGAGATGACCCCTTCCTCTTCATAGGGTTGTAGACAGATGGAAATGGGATACTGAGAGTGAAGTGCCCACAGATGGTGCACTATGAGCCATAGCTGTTCTTATTTACATCAGGGTCAGTGAGGGCTGTTTGCAGCTGACAAGTGAGCAGAAGGGCAAGAGTGCAGGGTGCTGGGATACACTGGTGACTCCCTTAGCCTGTGTCTCTACACCTGTCGTCTTCTGGGGTATCTCTCCATATGAACCTTTGTTATTCTTTAATAGACTGATCTACAGACATTCTAACTAAACAAACAATGAGCTGCTAAGATAGAAACAGCAATACAAAACTAAAATTACCTTACATTCTACAGAAAATGTGCTGAGAATTCCATGATACAATCTGTTGGGCACGATTAAAAAATAAAGCAGCCAGAACACAACAGTGAGAAAAACAAGAGCTCTACAACAGTACCAGGCCTCCAAGGTTCCTGACCTTGGCACTAGCTACAAAATTCATAGGTTAGGAAAGCCCTGTGGAACCTGGAAATTAGAAAGGTCACCCAGCAGCACTCTTTGGTCACACCAGCAGTCTGCATTTTTGACAAGTAGCAACTTCAGGCAGAAATTTGGCACTTGTGGTAGCTGACCCCTCGTGCTTATGGTATGTTACATGGCAAAGGGATTTGGCCCATGTAATTAAGGTTAATACTCAGCTGACTTTAAGAGGGGGATTATGCAGGTTGAGCTAATCTTATCACAAAAGCCTTTCCAAGCAGTTTTCTCTAGTGGAAAGCAGAAGCAGAAGAAAGGAAGATTCCAACCGGGAGATGGATATGTCCTTGGGTGGAATATTAAACCAGAAACTACAACTCAGAGAGAAAAGTGTTTGAGAAAATAAAAGCAACTTCCCCAGCTTGGAAAGGCCAAGAAAGGACTCCTAGAGGGAAGCAATTTACTATAACAGGATAGAGGGAGCAAAGGAAGTTTGAGATACGCGATTTTCTTTAAAAATTTTCTTAACTTTTGGTGAAGAAAGGTTCCAAAGAGATTTACTTTTTTTAAGAAGGTGGTCCAGCACATATATTGAGAAGGTTGGGGACAGAATTTTATTGATGTTGGTATTTGAAATGATACTATTAAGGATACAAGAGCCGATTATGGAAACAATAATACAAGTCAAGGGTCCTCATACTACAGACTTCAGACAAATCTTGCCGGCTGTCCCTTTTTATATGGTGCACTAGATAATAGCCATTTTTTCATATTTCAGTGATTGAGGCAAAGACTTCATGAATACGACCGCAAAAGCATGGGCAACCAAAAGAAAAAAAAAACAAATGGGATTATGTCAAACTAAAAAGCTTCTGCACATCAAAAGAAACAATTAAGGGGCTGGCCCGGTGGCGCACTGCTACAGTGCGCCACTTGAGAGCGCAGTGGCGCTTAATAATTATATGAAATTCAAATTTCCGTGTCTACTGGGATACAGCTACACATTTTTTAATGTATTGTCTATGGCCAATTTTGCACAAGTATTAAAGACTGTAAGGTCTTCAAAGCATAAAATATTTAATATCTGATCACTGGGCGAAGGCTTCAGCCACAGCCCTCTGACATCTGTACCCAGGCCAGCAATGACCAAGCCACCTCTGGAAGCCCCCTGGTCTCCCATGCAGGAAGGTGGGAGGGGGGTGCCACAGGCTTCAACCCCGCCCCTCCTCCTTCCTCCTTCTCTCACCCTATTCCCTTCCCTCTCTTCCTCTTCCCCCCAACTGCTCTGCAACATCATAGAATGTAAAAAATAATTTTAAAAAGTAATGTTAATAAATAAACTTAAAAAAAAAAATCTTATCATTTATGGAAAAGGTTAGACTAACCTAGATGCAAGCTCCAAGGGGGAATTTTGTCTATTTTTCACAGAAAATCATGTATTACAAGAAAAAAAAAAGTATTCCAACTGTACAGACACACACTATCTGTAAGTAGTACATGATTTCCAAACATTATTGGGACTGACAATTAGTGTTGTTAAACTTGGGCTATTAGTTGTAAGTTTATGATAGCACAATGTTTGGTGTTATTCTATCCAATAGATTTCAGCTCTTTATTAGAAAGCAGGTGCCAAAGAGACAAAGTGGAAATTTCTCCAGGAGGAACTGATGAAAGGTGAATAGGGTGAGGATATATACGTTTTTTTGAGCGATGGACTGTGAACTCTATCATGGAGACGGAAGACCTGTAGACCAGAGGTTGCTGATGGACAAGGACCTGCCCCTATCATCCCTGCCAGCTGTGGACCACCAAGGACAACACCCTCCAACAGCTCTGGGCAGAGAAATGCAAGCCAAGATGTCCACCTCCTAGTCTCAGAGACAGGAGATGGCAGAGGAGCAGCCAGGTGGTGAGGGATGACATACTGCTGGGGAGTTTCAAGATCCTGGCAGGTGTGGCTGCTGCACTGCAGGGGGCATGAGTGTAGATCAGGAGTCCTGCTCCCTTTCTGCCCCTCAGCCATCTAGCATATCTCTTGAAAGCTACTGGGTTATCAGTCCTATTCAGTCCCCAGACCAGGGTCCCTCCTTCTCTTCCCCTTAGGCTGTTCTTCCCACAGTTGGTGCATGAGTCCACATGTTCACCACACTCTCTTCCAGGTTGTTTTTCTTTTCCTTCCTGCTGCTCCCATTTGCCTTACTAAACACCTTCCACTGTACAAACCTAAGACTCTGACTACAGACTACCCTTTGACTGCAGAGATCATTACCTTCTCATTCATTTAAAGGAGTCTGTAATCTCCTATGGCCTATTTTTACTATCATTAGTAATAGTAGTAATATTAAAATAAAATCATGGTCATCATTTCTACTGTTATCCATCATTATTTTTGTTGCTACATTTATTACTACGTAATAATTTTGTGGCTGTTATCATACACTTGAATAGATTAGCTCTATGAACACAGAAATGTTCGATTCACTGAGAATTATGCAGCTTTCCCCAACAGACATAGGTATACACAACCAGCCCAACCTTCCTCAGAATTTTGTACATCAGCTCAGGGGCCTGGGATCACCACTGACAACAACTGAAGCTCAAGTACAGCTTTCTAGACCTGCCTGAACGTCTAAAAATGTTCTGGATCCACTCATTGCCCAGGATAAGCTGGTGCAAGGAGAAAGCCAATCTCTCAAAAGCAACTGTAGAACTTTGTCCTGCGCCAGCCCAGGAACTGCTCATGGAGGCCCATGAGCCCCTGCTGGATTGGGAGCACTATGGATGACTTCCCCCAACAGCCCTGGGATAACATGTGTAAATTCAATATGTCTGGGTCCCCATGACTCTGGGTGGAACAGACAGCAGAAGGGAAGCCAGGCTGCAAGGACTGAGACGGTTCTGAGGGTTCTATGTACATTATAGGTGGGGCTTTTGTGTGCTGGATGCATAATTGGAGGCTTGCTTTCCTTTCAAGGATTCCCTACATGTCAGCTAGTTTAGATGAACTCATGAAACTCTGAGGGTTCTATGTACATTATAGGTGGGGCTTTTGTGTGCTGGATGCATAATCGGAGGCTTGCTTTCCTTTCAAGGATTCCCTACATGTCAGCTAGTTTAGATGAACTCATGAAATGTTTTGGGGTCTGTGCAACCTGTTGTGTCCCTACAACAGGTTCCCTTTCCCCCTCCCGACAGGCCTCTCCTTTGTGGGTTGGCATACGAGTCCCTAAATAAGCCCATGCCTTCCCGCAGGTTGGTTTTCTTTTCCTTCCTACTGCCTATGTTTGCCTTACGGAACATGTTTCATCATGCAAAACTACAACTCTGAATCTGAAGCTCCCCATAAGGCCCAGTATCAGTACCCTATCATTCATTTAGGGAAGTCTGTCCTCTAATCTCCCAACTCCTTAGGTTTATCATTATTATCATTCTTATTAGGAGCAATATTAATATCATTATAATAGTCATCAGTGTCATTGTTATAGTATATTAACGTTACTTTTGGTATCACATTTATTATTAATGATAATTTTTGTGGTGATTGTTATACAAGATTCCATAGATTTGCTCTATTCACAGAGATTGTCTGATTTACTGAAGGTCTTTATGGAGGGTTCCCCAGCATACACATTTACATACACACACACACACGCACATACACACAGTTGCTTCCAGACTTCTGCTATACTACTTAGAACCCTTCAGTTGTATGGGCCTCCTAAAATATTCCAAGGCCCTCTCCAGAGTCAGGGACCCAACTGGGCAGGAATTATAACCTCAGTGCCTGAGACTCAGTACAAATTTGCATGTCCCATCAAACCTCTGGTGCCACCCTTTACAAGGAGAGTTTCCTTAGCCCAACAGAGCCACCATAAAATTTTTTCTAAGTCTACCTGGAGGTCCACAAACCACTTTTACCTTCTTGGAAAGGCTAGATAGATAGGGTGTCCCCACCCACACACACCTCCTCAGAATTAACTGCCTCAGCTCAGTAGTGTGGGACTAGCCATGACAGACAACTGAGGTGTATGAAGGGTGTCCTAGTACACCTTTGGTTATGATCTAAATTTCCACAGGTGCCACAAAAGGATGGTGCTGGACTGGAAGGCATGTGGAGGGTGACCCACACTCATGAGCAATTTAGAATTTTCTAAGTCATCCAAAGGGCCCAGCAATGGCTCATGCAGACCCGGGTCGGCCCTGCCAGCAGGCAGCACAGATGAATGGACCCACCAATAGCCACAGTAGAGTTATGCCAACTGAGATGTCCAGATATCAAGGGGCCCAGTAGTGCAAATGGCGGAAGGCCAACCAGGCCCTGGGTGTTGAAACGGCACTGGGGGCTTAATGTACATTTTTGGTGGGTCTATGGCAGTTAGGTTTGAATCTGGAGTCCTGCCTAAATCCTTGTAGAAATTAAACATCAAAATATTATATTCACAAATGCATATGTAGCTAAAAATATATGTTGGAAATACACATAATTAAAAACAAAAATTCAAAGAGAAATTGCTAATTCCTTAAATTTGACAGGCAGATTTAATAACAATGTGCTCTGAAATCATTACATCTGTAATGTAGTAACGTGATTAGGATTATTGAGGATTTAGTATAAATAACTAGCAAATACAAAGAGAACCTTTATCCAAATTATAGAGACTTTTTTCCACTTAAGTACACCAGTGGGTTTATGTCAAATATGATTGTGTAGTTGGCAAAGAGAAAATATCAGCCAATTGTAAAAAATAATATATAAACTGGGTAACAGGTAGTTACCATGGTAAAATCCAAATGAAAATAATAATCAAGTAGTTGAAACAAACCAAACTGACAGAGATAGTTTAAACAACAGGGTTACAATAAAATCAAAGGGTGTTTCAATTAGTCATGATAAATATGAAAAATGAAAGTAGTCAAAACCATGGAATTAAGGCTATAGCTATGATCTTGAAAAAATGTAAAACTTTAAAAACACTTATACAAAGAGAAAGAAAAAGGAAACAGGGTTATTTGACTTTTCAAATTATTACAAATTAAGCAGCTGTTAATAAAAGTTAAAATAATAATATTAAATTAATGATTAAAGAATGTAATGAAGAAACAGATTTGACATAAATCAGTCAAATAAAACTTTTGAGAGTTTAAATCTTGAAATTAAAAAGACCCATGAAAAAATAATACTGGCAATTAAAACAGACCATCTATTTATTTAAAAGCAATAATTTAAAATGCTAGAAATGCATCTATTTATTTAAAGGCAATAATTTAAAACGTTAGAAATGGGAAGAATTCTGTTCTCACTAATTACTAATTTGAATACGTAGGATAAATTCATTTCCAAGAAAATATGTTATAAACATTCACTCATAAGAACAATCTGATTAGCCAATTTTAATATATAAATTATACACTAGAATCTATTTCTAAAAGGGATTTGTGAGAGTTCTGGCAACATGTTAAATCACTTATAGTTCCTCTGTAATGTGAATTCTTCTAAAAGAAAAACATAAGCCTGTCTTCATTATTAGGCTAATCAAAATGTACACAAATGCAAAAAAAAAAAAGGAAATTAGATAATCTTTACTGAGTACATTTGCAAAAATCAGTGCAATAGCCATTATCTATTTATTTTAGCTATTCATCTATTTATTTTGGCCACTAGGTCATCACTGGTGTGGTTAAATAATAACACAACATTGTCAAGTGGCATTTATTGCAATAATGAAAGGATGATTCAATACTAGAAAACCTATCACTTTCATAGAGTAATTTTACAGATTAAAAATTAGATCACATCAATAGGCCCTTGAAAAAATATTTTAAATCATTTACATCTTTAAAATTAATTTAAAATCTTTAAAAATCATGTCAAATGGGGGGAGTAATTCTTGTTAATCAAGAAAATTTCAATAAACATTTGGCAGTAAGCACTTCCAGTAAAGGTAAAGCTGACAAAAGGGAGCTGGCCAGGGCTGCTGCCATTCACCTTCGCAAAGGTTGCCTGAGTTGCGACCAAGAAAAGAGGAAAGGAAAGAGGAAATACAAAAATGGAGTCAAAAAGCTGAAACTAGTTACTCTCAGATGATATAACCACAAACTCAAAAAAGTGGAAGAATCCATTTTAATTATTACAAATAATGAGATTATTTAAAAAGCAGACAAACCTATTTTGAATATACTGATATCCATATTTCCTGTTCAGTAGGAATAATTTATAAACTAAGCAGACACACAAAAATCAGTCTGTATTTACAACAGCAAAATATAATAACTCCCACTAAAAATAAATTTGCAGACCCATGTAAAAAAATTTTTTTTAACTTATTGAAGAAATAAAAATGACATGAATAAAGCCCAGCAAGCCAAATTCTTAGACTGAAGGACATAGTGACATAAAACCTCGGTGACTGCAGAAATTCAGTGCAACCTAAACTTAAAAGTCACTTGTGATATTTCAGGTAAAAAAAGAGATTTAGCCCTAAAAATCAATTTTTTCTCTATTTTGAGTTTTGGTGAGGGTACAGCAAAAATAAATATGAAAAGAGCAAAATGGAGACATGTCAAATTTCATCTGAACCTATATTATTTGAAAATTCAAGGTACGTCAGATTAATTTTAGATTAAACAATATAATATCAGAACTGAATGGAACATAATATAAAATAGGTTTTATAATATTTTGTATTACAAAACTCAAAGTGCATTAAAGATGGATTTTGGTTTCACTGCAGAAACATAAGACACTAAAGTGTATATATGTGTCAGTATGTATGTGTGATTAAACTACAGAACAGAAAATAGTACCTAAAATACAGCAAAAATAAGTAGAAAAATTCATTTTACACATATATGTCTATAAAATAAAATTTATTCAGCCTCACAAGTAATAACATGGAAATAAAAACAAAGACTTGTCATCTTATCCAAATCTATAAAAAATATATAGTATCACGTCCTGGTTAAAGCAGGGGGGAACCTCACACGTTGGTGATAGATGAGGACATCTTTGCAGTTCTGGGGGTGCATCTCTCTAGAATCTATTACAATTTGAAATGCATCATACCTTGACTGAGGAATCAAACCCTGACTTACCCAAAGTGGAGGAACCCTCAGACATCTGCAGAGAAGTCAGTGTGCTAAGAAGCATCCAATGCAGCAATCTTTAGAAATCCATGAACACCAAGGTTTCCTTGGAATATGCTGTGAATGATTTGAAAATCCTCCTACATTTAGGTTGATTCCATTTTCAAGCAATAACAGAATAAAACACACTCTACCCTGTGGATGAACTGCCACCTTAACCTGTCATGGCTCAGTTTGTAAATTCTCCCTTCTCTCCCAAGTCATTAATATTTTGAGGCCAGATATACACTGATTCGTTGTTAAGCTTCAAATGCATTACATAATCAGGTAGAACAAAGTTCTTCTCATCAATCTTCTTTTCCAGGATTTGTCAGGTATTCCTGACATTAATTCACCACTAATGTTTCTTTAATCCTGATCCACAAAGAGCTGAGTGCATCCAGATTGGCCCCTGAAATAAATCCCTACTGGCCAACCTCATTTACCTCATGGGGCACACTCCCCATCTTTACTCCATGTCTGGGTGTGAAGCCCCACCCATATGACCCCCTAAACGAAATCACTTCACTAGTTCTTTCACAGGTTCACAATATAATGGTATCAGTCAGAAGATAAGAAGGGGCTAAGGTAAGGCTATTGGTGAGTTAGGAAATGTGTTAGGTAGGATATTTGAGAGTCAGAGATTAGCATGTCCTCAAAACAGCATTTCAGGAAGGAGAGAACAAACAATAAATGAAAATAGGACTTTTACCAGAGAAAGAGCCATTCCTGACTGTTGCTCATTTTCCTTCACTAAGCTTTTCTCAGGTAAGGTCAGTATTGAGAAACCACTCCCGAATGTTAGGAGTATGCCCTTTGGGGCTTCAAATCAACATACCCCATCTTCCTATACCACAACCATGCATATGGGGCAGAACTCAACACGTGAAAAAGACTCTTCTGCTTTCCACTGAACCATCAGGAATTCAGGACAATAAACTCTTACATGGAAACTAAACAGTGAGTTTTTCTGCCCCTTTCTTCATAATGCCCTCATATCCTAGTGAAGCCCACATGCTACATGGCAGCTGTGGCTATTTGAGCTGGTCTGATTCCTCAGTCACAGAACCTTCAGTCCCTGCTAGTACCTGCTGAGCACAGGGCCACTGGGTGAGAACTGGCAGAGCTTTTCCTTTCTCCTGTTCCTAAGCTCCCAAGGCTCTCCCCCATTCCTAGATCCTGAACACCCAAACTGCATTGCCATTCCTCCTCCAAGCCCCGTTCCCAGAACCAAGGGCCACCTCCTCATTGGAGAGATACCTCTGTTCTGGGCTTAATCTAAAAAGTCTTGCTCTTTCCCTACCCAGTTGCCTTGTGTCAAAGGTGGAGAGGTAAATAGGAGAGGCCAGTAGCACTGGCCTCACAGGAATGACATGACCTGGAAGGGAAAGTAGCAGGATTTGCCCTTATCATCCCTCCTAAAGATTTCAGACTATATTTCATACTCTTGGTCTTACATGGTTTTAATCATATCGTATAAAAGCGCAACAGGTCTTACATGGTTTTAATCATATCGTATAAAAGCACTTAATTTCTCTTTTCCAGTGTGACCTGGAAGGGAAAGTAGCAGGATTTGCCCTTATCATCCCTCCTAAAGATTTCAGACTATATTTCATACTCCTGACCAAGAGCAACAGGTCTTACATGGTTTTAATCATATCGTATAAAAGCGCAACAGGTCTTACATGGTTTTAATCATATCGTATAAAAGCACTTAATTTCTCTTTTCCAGGACACACTAAGCCATCAAAAAATATATAATTTAAGAAGACCTAATTATTGGCACTGGAAAACAGAAAAGAAGGTCAGCTCTGGAAATATCTTTGAACAATTTACTCAAACAGATGAACAGATGGGATCTGTTAGAACAAAGTTCCAGGACAATCCAGCCCATCCTTGAGTATTTGCAGAAAATAAGACAAAAAACTTGAAGAGATCATATACTTAGTTGGAAACTTTAGCCCACAGCCCATTAAATTAAAAGATCACATAAGGGGGAAAAAAAAAACCTGGTGAAAATATTAGACTGTTTAAACTTGGTTTTGACTGTTAAGATAAAAAGTTAATATCATTACCAAGTTTAAATACTGTAAAATTATTTACTAAATACCAAAAATATTTTCAATAGATAATAAAGACTGGGAAAGCATTGCGGTCTCATAATCTGAACTTAACAAATAAATTTTAAAAGGAAAGTAATTTGAAAATTAGAAAACCATCTAATAAATTTGAGATCAACCCTTCTACTGCCCTCTCTGCTGTTGTTGGTCAATGCCCCCTCCTCTCCGCGCCCTCTTCCATTTCTCTGCTGATCGATCCCCTTTAGTCTGATCGCACTGTTCCTTGCCCCGGAGCACTCTTACTGCGTCTTTCCAAGTCTGTCATACCCACCCACTTTCCATCCTCTATTTTACCCTCCCTTTTTCTCACTGTCCCTCACTAGCTCTATCTCTCTCTTCGTCTCTCTTTTCTCCTCATCCCTCGGCCCACCTAGACGTCCACAGGGATGGAATAACAATGCCCTGAGCGGGAAGAGCTCATCTTCCAGTGGGACATCGGGAAGGTAAACACTAGGCAAGAGGACACGGGGTGTCACAGGACAGGGCCAGTCCCCTCCTCCAACCCGGGGCTCGAGCCTCCCCAGGCGGTGGCCGCGAAGGAGAGGCCGGGGGAGCAGGAAGGACCTGCCGCATGGGGTACAAGGCTGAGGAAGGGTCTCAGGAGAGGGCTGGGGTCTGCAGAATCCCGGGACTGCCCTAAGGGGCCGAGGGGCAAGGCTGGAGGCGAAAGGCAAGAATCCACTTGCCGACTGGGGACCTAACGCTGCGGGCGAAGACGGTGAACACACTCAAGGCTAACAGGCCCGGCGCAGGCGGCCTCGGGGCGTGTTAACCAAAAGCTGACGCAGACGCGAACCCGGCAGCGGAGCAACCGGCCTCGGAGGGTCTCAGGGCAACGCGGGGCTCCCCGGAGCCTGTGAAGTCAGCGGGGACCACCGACCCCGGGTGTGGAGGACTGGGTTAGGAGGGGGTTGCGAGACGCGAGTTTGAGCGACAAAGACCGGAGCGCACTCACCCGAGTGGGCCTTGGCTCCGGAGAGTTCGCTTCCGGGTCAAAAGGAAACTGCGCGAGGAGGCGGAGCCTTGGTCGCACGAAGAGGGGCGTGGTCGGGGGCAGGGCCGGCGAGCCTCCCTCGCTCCGCCCTCGGCCCGTTTCCTGGTCGGCCTCTCTCTCTGCCCTGCTGTCGACTGCAGGGTTGGCTCCGTTTGGTTCTGTCTGGAGCCCACTGCACACTGCCTGTGTGGAGTACGCGATGTCTCGCTGACTCCTGAAGAAGGGGGTTTCCATTTCTGTTATCTATTCTCCTGGAAGGCGGAGGTCTGGGCTCAGTTCCATGGTCTTCATGGGGCCAGGGCCTGGGCTGAGGGTGAAGGCTGAGGAATTGCTTTAAAAGAACAAAATTTACTGCTTGTATATGTGTAATTCCATTCTCCTTAATATTTCACTTGTTCTGTTTCACACTTCTTGCGATGGTTTATAAATTCAATACCTTAAGGTGAAGCGTGGATGGCATCCCATAATTTATCAATTTCTGAATACGTTGTAATTTTACTGTCTGAAACTATTTTTTTTTTTGAATTGCAAAATATGAGGTATTTTAATAAATGTTCTTGTTTTCTATTTCTGAATGTTTTATTTCGTGTACAGATATGAGGCTTGTAAAATGAATACGTGGACTTTGTATTTAACTAATGAAAAATTAATTTTTGAATATTACCAGGGACGTTTGATAAGGCTGTCTATTCTCACATGAACATTTCAAAAAATAGTAAAATTAGGGCCGTCCGGTTAACTCAGTTGGTTACAGCATGGTGCTGATAATACCAGGATCAAGGGTTTGGATCCCCTAACCAGCCAGCCACAAAAAAAAAGAAAAAGAAAATTAGGTTTTCAAATTTCAGTAGCTTAATTTATATCCTTAATAAATTTTAGTGCGAAATATGTGCGTTAATATCTCTTTTTTTATTTCCTTTGGAAATTCTGAAGTTTATGCTAGCTGGGATTTGGCAGGGCCAGATCCCACCTATTCAGGCTACAGAAATTTCTCAAAGGTGATTTTTGAAAGAGAGCACATTTCTGATTCTTCCAGAACTAATACCAGTTTCTCAAACTTTTAAATTTATTTAGTATTAATATTTGAACTCAAATCAATTTAATTTTTGGAAGAAATCTTTCTCTGAGGCAGTAAGACAAACCGCCCTGGGGCTTATATGGAGGACACTTCTCCATTTCTCCAGGACACTGTGTTCATTTCCTCCAAGCTCAGCTCACTTCTTTCAGACCTGCTGGAAACTGGACTCTGACTGAGGAGCCTGGACTGTATGCCCTTTGGATCAAGGGCTTTTCATGTTTTGGACTCCCCATTTAGTGATTTCTCTGGGTCCACATGGGATGCATATCTCTTTATGAGAAGCTGAGCCCATAAGATGGGTGTCTGAATAAACCAAGTTCTGTCCACTACTTGACTGAGTCTCTATTCCTTGGCTGGGATTTAGATTTGATGAAAGCTGGGGGGTAAAAGGAGTGACAGTGCATTGAAGTATAATTTCTCCATTTATGTTTTTATGAGCATTATTATAAGAAAAAAGTAGTTTCTAGACACTCCTTAGAAAAACCACCTCACTAAAAAACTAGTTCCTTTTTCAGGACTAAACAGTGTTTATTTTAATGGAGATCATTTTTAAGCCAGTCTTCAATGGGTTTATAAATTACATCCAAATAATCACGTCAAATTTGACTTTTATATGGGCCATTTTTATGGTGAATTTTTCAAAATTATCTACAAGTCTCTGGAGAAAGAACTCTGCAAACATGTCTACGAAATACAAAACAAACCTCTGGCAGAATTTTTTGAAATGTAGCAGCTGTTGAGGACCAGAGATTAGTGATGTTTTTATGGTATGGAGAATAGTGAGGAGGGATGTGAGCAGACTCGGCTAATGACAGAACCTAATGGCTGAAGATAGTGTTTCCTCTCTTATCTGGTTGATCCTTGGCCTGTGGACTATCATTTCACTGAATGTTAAAGAAGTAGCACACTTGATTTTCAAGTATATTTGCTACAGTATTAAATGTAGCGTTCCCATAGGCTTCTGTTATTTTGTATGTCTAGAGAAATGCTGTCTTTCTTTTTCCTAATTCATTCTATTGTGATATACTATCACAAGCTTCCAAAATCAGGCATTCAAGGGTACAGGCCTAAATTCACCATTTAAAATTTGTGTCCTAAGCTGGTGAATTCTATTATTTTCTTTTTTTGTTGTTTTTGTTTTTGTTCTTTTGGTGGCTGGCCGGTTCAGGGATCTGAACCCTTGACTTTGGTGTGATGACACCACTCTCTAACCAACTGAGCTAACTGGCCAGCCCTGTGGATCCTATTCTGATAGAATAATCATGGCACCTCAGAATGGGACATCAATGTGTGAGAAATGGGTTTCACTTAGTGGTCATGAGGCCATCTCATCTGCACTTGGAGAAGAAGGTGCATAAGAACTTTTGTCTGTTGGTATATGAAATATTTATATTTTTTTATGATCCAGGACATCCAAAAATCAATACCTGAGGAAGACTGACCTGATCTCCAAAGAGATAAGGCAGATGAGTGGTCATTACCACAGTACTAGCCCCACAAATTCCTGCAAAAACCCAGAATGTCAAGAAGCAACGGAAGGGATAAGTGGGTCCAAAGACTTCCCCATCAGATGAGTAAAATCCCAGAGAAAGTGAAGGCTTGAAATTGTGGGGGTCCAGAAATTTTTATCTCAGGTGGGGACAGGAAGTTGGGACCCATCTACTTAACATGGTTTTTTTCCTGCAGGCAAGAATAACAGAAGAGGAAGGCTGTACACAGAAGTTCCCCTGGAGACCTCAAAGGAAGTTGCAGCAAAATTGGAAGGAGTTGACAGAATCTTTTGACTGTCTGAGGATGTCTCACTCCTGACTCCCTGCTCTATTTCCGTTCTGGGTAACCCTTATCTGTTTCACACCAATGATCATTCTGTGTGAGGAGGTTATTAAAGTTCTAACCAATAGGATTCCAGTTTATTTGTGTGCTTTTCAGATGCTCTTTTTTTCCTTTGTTTGTTTTTGTACAATTACTTGCATGTCTGCAAACAAGAAGCTAGTGTTTTCCACAATGGTTGCACCAATCTACATTCCCACCAACAGCATACAAAACCCTTGCTAACACTTATATCTTCTCTTTTTTAGTATAGCCATCTAATGGATGTGAGGTGTTTTATCATTATGGTTTTGATTTGCATTTCCCTGATGATTA